GGCAGCCTCTGGGACCAAGGGAAGCTTGTGCAGACCCACAAAACCCAGTGGTGGCCTTCCTCACTGGCCAAGGTTCCCATTTCCTGCTATATGCCTATTTCTTCTCCCAGAGCTCCTCCCTACAGGTCCCTGTGGCAGGCCCTGGACTCTTTCTGGAGGGTGGCCCGAAGCATCCTCACTGTTCGCTGGGAACCCCAACAAGGCCTTATTCACAAGTGGGTGCTTCTCACTCACCCACCCTTTCAAAGAGGCCTGGGCAGGTGAGGAGGCAGAGGCCCAGAAAGGGCCAAGGAGAGACTTTGCCAAGCTACCCAGCAAGCCCTGGGTGGAAACAGATTCAGGACTGGAACTCAGGTTTCTGGGCTCCCGGCTTTGTGTAGAGAAGAACCCAAGGGCCAGGCAAGTCTCCTAGAGCATGAGCCTGGCTTTGAAATCCTAGCCCAGGTGCTTCCCAAACTAATCCTGCCACAAGGGAAAATGCTGAGGGCCTGGTCTGTCCCTGGGGAGGCCCTAAGTGTTGTCTGGGACACTGGAAGTTTCTAGGGGCCAAGGCACACTCATGGTGGGGAAGCAGACCCCTAGCGAGGGCATGGCAGCTGACCCCAGCTGAAGACAGAACCAGGTGGCTCTGTGAATTTGAGCAAGCGCCTTGACCTCCCTGAGCCTGTTTCCCCATCTAGAAATTGGGGATAATGATGGCTGCCCTGTCCACTTCTCAGGGTTAGGGTGAAGCTTAGCAGAGATAACATTAACTCCCACTGTAAGCTTGTGCCACGGGCCGGGTGCAGTGCCCAACACTTTCCCTGCATCGTTTCATTCAACCTTGACCACTGTGCTGAAAAGTGGGCATAGCATCCTGCCAGATTTGGAAACAGGGCTCACTGAGATCAAGACACTGCCTTTAAGTTCTCACAGATAAGTGAAGAGTGGTGCTGGGATTTGAACCCTGATCTGACCCAGACTTCCCCCTTCCACTGAAAGCCCTTTGTCAGTATGATTATTATCAGATTAGCATGGCACGGAGGCCAGCTCATAATCAGTTTATTAAATTCCCTTCATTCTAGACCGTACTGTAGAACGTAAGTCTTCTCTTTGGGCCCCAGGCAAGGGTTCAAGGGCTGAGTTGAGACCGGGTTCGGCAAACTGAGACCTGCCACCTGTTTTTATAAATAAAGTTTGGTTGAAACACAGCCACACCCTTTCATTTACACTTCGTCTAGGGCTGCTTTTGCAGCAGCTGACTGGGGGAGTCAAGACAGAGATGGAAAGGCCCCGCAAAGTCGGAAATACTATCTGGCCCTTTGCAGAAAAAGTTTGCTGACCCCTGATTTGAAACATTCAAGGAAATATTCTGGATGCGGCTCTGGCTTTTGGCTCAAGTCCACGGGAGCAATGAGGGGAGCTCCTTGCCGGGCTCCCTCTGTAAGCACTGGCCAGTTACATCAGGAATACCAGCTTGTCAAAGGAGCCCTGGAGAGGCCTCCCATTTGGAGGTTCCAGAGTAAGGCTGGCTGAGTCTGCAGCCCCTTCTAGGGCTGGGAGCAGAAGATAGTAAGTCTTCTCTGCTATTCCCTTTCACTGTTAGCTGGCCTGAGCTCACTCTGGTCAGAAAGAAACTGTGGATTGAGAAATTTCAGCTGAGTAACCTTTAGGCCTGAAAAAGAAAGTTATACAAGCACTTCTGAACGGCTGCTTGGGCCAGGCCCCATAGTTCCCTCCGTCGTGGAGGAGCCCAGCCCCAGTTGGTACCAAGTCAACCAGGGCTTGTGGGAGTCTGAAACGTTAGGCTTCGGAGGGCTAGGGCTCGTTTTATACCACACCTGGGGGCCTGAGAAGCCATGTGTCTGGGCCTGGGTCTCTTTGCCTCCCTCATCTCTGTCATTTCGGAGGCTGCCTACTTTCCACTGTTGTTTTTCGAGTTCTCTGTCCCCCACCCCCAGCCTTCAACCTCTTGCTCTAGGACTTATGGGCCAGAAACAATTAAGTGAACCCCTTTTTCTTTTTACCTCTGTGTTTGCAAAAACCACCCCCTACTCTGATCCTACTGTATTTATTTGGTTAAGATATCACCAAAGGGTGGCAACCCGTATGTCCTGCCTTCTTTTGGTCTGATGTCTAATTATCTAATTATCTTTCCCTCATTCTCTGCCCCAGGGTCAGACTCGCAGTCACCCACTAGCCTCCAGTTGGTTACATACACCTGGAGGACGCAGGTGGCCGCTCCCCTTCCTGCCCCTACCTCCACTGCCCGCCAGCCTCCTGCCAACTTAACCAAATGTGATCGGGCTGTGGGGGCCGGTGTTAGCGATCCCACCAGTCCACACCATGCCATCCATTTCTTCTGCACTTACTGAGAATACCGAACACGCTTTGTACTTAAGTCTTCCCTCTAAGTAGGGGAACGTTCAAAGGACCAGAGAAAGGATTTGCATTCTAGAATTTGAAGTCCAGATTCTAGATTCACTTACTAGCTTCACTTCTCTGAGCCCCTTGTCTCATTTCTCACTGGTAAAATGGGGCTCGGGGATTGTGTCACCTAGTCGTTAGAATGACAAAAGGAGTTATTTTTATAAGGAGTTCTGAAAGCTGCACACTTCTGGGTGGGTATTAAGTTCCCCGGCCCTGCCACCACCCCTTTCTCCTTGGTTTCATGTAAAATTAGAGCTTTGGGGGTGATTAGGGAGGTAACAGACCAATCAGCATAAAGCCAGCCCACCTAAACCTCTTTGCCTAACCAGTTACTCTGACGACCAGTTTGCCTAAAAGTCAAAGTAGTAATTTTGAAAGAAGGCATTTTGTACCAATTTTCTTAAGAGGCACTTCCAGCATAATGTCGTATTTTTAAATCACTGTGTCGCAATCGGCAGCATTTTGTCAATGATGAGATTATTTTGTATGCTTGTGCGTGGCTTTTTCTATTTTGTCTCCTACTGAGCAGTTTCATGGCTTTTTAGCAAGTTTGTCTGCAGACCCTTTCTTAAAATTATGTATTTCTAGCACCAAATACCCATCAAATCTGTAGAATATCCCACAAGATTTATTGAACGCGCCTTTTTGATCACTCCTGTCTCCTTCTCGCTGGGTTGTACTCTGCACTGTGTCTGTCTGTGTGCACCTGATGAGTTGATTAACCAAATTAGTGTATACCCATGCTCCTTTCTGTTCTGCAAGATATTGGCGTTTCGACAGCAAGCGTGAAGAAGTGAGACAGATGGGGCAGAATTGTATTGAACTCCTTGCATTTTATTTTTCAGCCTTTCTCATTCATCAAGCAGCTCTATTTTGTGGAACATAAAACGATACATACAAAGTCATTACCAAGTGTACTTATTGCAGGAAACATAACCATTTTCAGGAAAGGCAAACTGGCTAAAAAGTCCTGAAAGTGTTCAGAAGTAGATAAAATTAGAAGACACCCACCAAGGATATAAAACAAATTTGAGTAGGAATCCCACCTTTAACCAGAATGTCCTTAAATCAATTGCTTTGTAAAAAGCTTTAAATGACACCGAAGGGGGGAAAAAAGGACACCCAAACAGATGCCAAAACACTTAAAAGCGGACTGAATGTTATGTGAACCGGTCATTAAGCACAGAGGTTCCTTTTGCGAGTTTGCGGCAAATTGGTTCAAGGCCATTTGACCTGGAATTGATTTGGGATGCAGGCACTTACCTCCGTGCAAGTGCAATATGTGGGCACAGGGACAACCATGGACCTCAGGGGACAGGAATGCCCCTCCTGAACATGACCTCCAAGAATAAGGGTGAATTGTCAGCTTTTAACTCTTTATTATAAAGACATATTTACACAGAACAATTTTTACAAACACAGTGAACACAATTATGGGAAAGGGACAATTTCTTAATGAAAAGGGCTTTAATATCTTTGTATAAATTAGTATAAGAATCATACACAACCATTTTAAATAAGACAAGCCCCCAGCCCCCCACTGCTCTCTTCTGCCCTGTGCCTCTGGACTTGACCAGCTTTCTCCCCCTACCCCACGGGGCTGGCTGGGCAGCTGATGAGGCAGGAGATGCAGAGAGGAGGAGGGGAAAGAAGGCCCGATCCCTGATGGGGGCATCAGTGGCAGAAGGGGCTTCCTGGACCCTGGCCAGCCCCCACTCCCAGCCCGAAGGGGGTGGGGGAAGCGGGTGCCCAGCCCGGCTCCTCAGGGTGGGCCTTAAAGCAGCAGTGGAAGTGAGGGGGGAGAGGCGGTTAGGCAATGTCGGGGTTACTGTGGGACTCGGAGGGCCCTGACTCCCCCTGTCCCCACACATACATAGGTGGGCCATCAGGCTCTTGTCTCCCCTTTCCTCCCTCCTGGGAGGCCTCTGGGAAGGAAGCCTGCTCAGACCTGTACTTCCTCCCATCTTTCCTTCCTTCCTTCCTTCTCTCCTTCCTTCCCTCCCTTCCTTCTTCTCCCCCTTGCCGCTCCCCTAAGGAAAGGCCACTGGGAAAGAAGGTCCAGTCCACATGAAGGGAAGGCTACCGAGGCCAATTACTTAAGGCTACCTTCTGGCTCCCGAAAACCAGTGTTGGGGTTCGAGCAAGAGCCTCAGAACCTGAGCTGCCTCTGCGAGAACACCTGGGCCCTGGAAGTGCTGCAGGAATGGGGGCCGCTGGCCAGGGACGGGCCCTTTCAGCCCAGGTCGGGGCAGGGGGGCGGGATGGACCAGCAGGGCCAAGCCAGGGAGGGGGGAGCAGCTGGGCCCCCACACAACCGCGGGGCACTTCACAGCCTGCCTGCGCCTCCCTTCCCCGCCACCCCCAGCCCCAACCGTGCGTGGGCAAGGCACTTAGTGTGTTTTGAAAAGATATCATCAAGAGGGAAGAGGACATCATCAAGTGGGAGTGGGGAGACCTGGGTCCTCATTCTGGCTCTGCAGTGACCCCGAATAGGTCCACTGTCCCTCTCCAAGCCTGGTTTTGCAGGAGTTTGCCTAAGGAGGCGGAGCTAAGTGATCGCCAAGATTCCTTTTGGCTCTGACATTCTGTGATTCTTGGCAAAAAAAAAAAAAAACCCACTCCTCCTGCTTGGCTTTTGCTCCTGGGAGGGTACAGAGCCATCTCCTGAGCGAGAGCTTAACTAGCGGGCACGGGAGGGAGGGAGCGAGTTGGGGGTGAGGTGGGGGGCAGTGTTAGGAGACACAGAGAGGAGATGAAGTACTTCATGGCCCCTCTCCTTCGCCTCTTTGGTAAGCCAAACACGGCAGGAGGAAAAGCCTACAGCAGCTATTCCTCTTCTCCAGTGCTTTCCCTCTCCCCTCACCAGAGGACCGAGCCCCGTTCCGATACCCCGCAAGGCGCCTGGTCTGCATCCCAATCGATGCCCCAGCCCGTCTAACCAGGGCCTCCTTGCCGGGTGAAGGGTCCACGTGACTTGAAAGCCTGGGACCTGCCGGAGCCCACTGAAGAAGGAAGGGAGTGTTTCCCCTCCAGCCCCCAGGGCACCAGTGAGGTGAGGAAGGAAGGGCTGGGCGAAGCTTGGGCTGTTGGACTGGGGGTGGGGGAAGACGACTAGAGGAAGGGGAAGGCCAGGGAGAAGTCCAGCCTTCCAGTGTTGGGTCTCCGAAGTCAGTCCAGGGATGGGCCAGGAAGAGGGGCTGAATGGATCCATGGGAGAGAAAGGGAATCATCCGAACTAGGGGCAGGATCATGTCATTCGGGGAAGCCGGTGGGTGAGAAGAGCCGGGACCGTCAGCAGCAAGGACAGGTGCGAGAAGAGAGGCGAATGGAAGTGAGGGCTCCAGAGAAGCAGACCAATCTATGGAGTAGCCAGAGTCGCAGGGGGTGGGCACTCAGGGGCCCCCTCAGTCCTAGAGAAAAAAATGACCAGCGAGAAGTCACGGACATGTCTTAGGTCAAAGGAACCAGCCGGGAAAGCAAAGGAGACAGCCTTCGTTCCCCTCTCCCCACAACCCTGAACCTAAAGCCCAAGGTCCCTGAGTTGGTGCCACCTTGTCCAGGCTACAGGGGCGAGACAGCAGGCCAGGCCTCAGGGGCAAGCTTAGGCCTTGCTTTCTCTGCTACTGCCTTGGATTTTTCTTTCTTTCTCATGGCTCTGGGCAACCTCTTCCTCGTCTCTGCCTGCTGCCCCCCAAGGCTCTCTGCCTCCCTCCCCTTCTCTGGTGAAGATCCACCCTGCACACCGGTAGGATACCCTGAGGCATCCCTCTCCAGCTCAGCAAGGCCCCTCCGGGACTTCTAGAACTCTCCAACTGGGCCAGCCTGCCCAACCCCGGGCAGCAGAGTGGAGAGGGGCTGACACCCCACTCCTGGGGAGTCAGGAGATTGGCTCCAGGTGTCAAGCCCCTCTCTGGGCCTTGGCTCCATGTCTGTAAAATGAAGGGGTAAGATGGGTGCTCTGTAAGCACCTACGTTGCGTGCGGGGCCGGAAGGGCTCGGTGCAGGTGTCTGGCCAGCAAGAAGCAGCAGGGTCCCCCAGCTTCCAGGCTGTCCCTCCCCAGCTCCTTCTGCTGCCCACTGACCAGAGGCTCAAGTACCTGCTTCAGAAAGGCATGGGGCCCTTGTGCGAGAGGCGCGGCCGCTGGCGGCGGAATTTCCTCCGACCGCCCTGCCAGGGCCCCGGTCCATTCCTCGATCCTCTGGGCTGCACCAGGTGGCGGACATTGCCCTCCTCCAGCCCCTTGCCATCGGAAGGCTGCAGCAGGGGCCCTGCAGGAAGAGGAAAGCCTGTTAGCCAGGAGGGCTGATGCGGATGGGCAGGGGGCTGCAGACTCGTGGTAGGGGGCCAAGTCTTCACGAGGTAGTATTCATCAAAGCTTCTCTTTGGTTTTATCTTCCATCTTGGTGAAGAGTTTGCAATTTTTACACTGGCCTGGGCCAAAACCTACTCACATCTTGCAATTTATGGAGCTGACTTTAGGTCCTTTTGGCAGTTCTACCATGTTTCTGGCAGGCGCAAACATGTTCCCCGTTTAGAACATCGGGGGGGGGGTACAGTGTGGGGCATACGTCTGTACTTGGTCAGGGCACAGCAAGCGATAACTCCCCATTGCACCCTTGCAACGGATACACTGAAAACAGTTCACACATACAAGGAAATGAATCCCCGTACCACCATGTACCCAGCACCCGGATTCAACCGTTATCCAGGTGGAGTCCCATAGCCTTTAGTTATCCCTTTTCTTTTTTTCTTTGTGGAAGTATTTTACAGCAAATCCAGAACACCGTGTCATTGGACTCGGACATCCTTCAGTACGCAGGTGACCCACTTTTGAGTACTTGAGATCTCATACCTCACGTGATCTCCCAGGGGGTGTGGCTGTGCTGGGGGGTTGTAGAGACTCTGTGCGCCTTAAGCTGGGCTCTATCCAGCCTGTGACCACATTTAGAGGCTAGTAAATATTATCTGGATGAATGAGTGAACCAATGAGTGAATAGGCACTTGAGGCGGCAAGTCTGTGCATCAGGAGGGGTGCGGGCTGCTGTAGTTGGCACCTCCCCACCGAATGCCCTACCTCCTTTCATCCCCACATCACAGCCCGAGCCTGTGTCTGATGTAAATTCCTCCCACTTACATCCCAGTTGGCTTCTCCTCGGCTCTCTGGGGCTCTGCTCTACATCTGCCCACACCTGGCGTAGAGCAGGAGCCTCCTGATGCCAGGCCAAGCCCTGACAATGGAACCTAAGTGGTGCTGGGTGTTCTGGGGTGCAGTGAGGGAGAAGGCACCTGGGCTGGCTCTCACCAAGGCTGCAGCACAGCCAGGGGAGGGGAGCTTGCACTCCAGAAACAAGCCCCGCCTCTGGAAGCAGGCAGAACAGGGAGACGAGACGGTGCTGGGCAGAAGGCGGACTGCAGGGCACTTGAGCCATGCCCAGTCCGGGGCTGGGCTGGGCTGCAGAAATACGGCTTCTGAGGTCAGCGATCACAAATCCCAGTCTCTCTCCTCCCACACCACTGGATTTGCCTTCAGTTATATCCCTGCCCCTGAAGCTCCATTTCCATCCATCCAGGCATCCCCACAACTAGCTCAGAGTTTCCATATCACCACCCGTTGGCTGCTAGCCCCCCAGTCATACCCCTGGCTGATCTTCTTTTCCCTCCTCCTGCCTCCAGCACCCCCATGCTCTGGGTCCTCTGTTGGCTCCTTGGCTCTAGTGATTCTTCCTCCTGTTGCACACAATTTCCAGGCATTTCTCCTCCTCTTGGGCCAAAAGCAGGCGAGGTTTGTTCTTCAGGCCCTCCCCACCCAGGCTCCCGGGGCCTGCTGCTCTCTCAAGACATGCAAGCCCTGGGGCGCCTGGGTGGCTCAGTCGTTAGGCGTCTGCCTTCGGCTCAGGTTGTAATCCCGGGGTCCTGGGATCGAGCCCCGCATCAGGCTTCCTGCTCAGCGGGGGAGTCTGCTTCTCCCTCTCTCACTCTCCCTGCTTGTGTTCCCTCTCTCACTGTGTCTCTCTCTCTGTCAAATAAATAAATAAAATCTTAAAAAAAAAAAAAAAAGACACACAAGCCCACAGCGCATATGCGCACACTCTAGTCCTCCTCCCGCCTTCCCCGAGAAAAGTCCCAGGCCGGGCAGGACCCCACTGTTGACCAGCCACATTTCTGTGCTTCTGGTTGGGGTGGGTTAATGTGTCAGCTCCTCCCCCAGTGAGAATTAAAACCCATCATCTAATGAGAATGAAAACACAAATTATATTCACACTTTGGGGCCGTGGGGCAGGAAGCCACTTCTGTCTGTCATAAAGCCATTTGCAAAAGGGCTGGGCCAGGGAAGGAGAGAGGAGGGAAGGACCTTCACTAAGCCCCCACCTCCACCCCTGACCTCAGCTGCTGCAGCTTCTGCCCTGTGTTTCGGGGTCCTCTCAAGGCTCTCCCTGACCACTGAGGGGGGCAGGAATGATGCTGATGAGGCGTCCATATGAGAGGCGCACTCGGGGCTCGGGGCGGGAAGGACTGTGCTGAGGGTGTGGCCAGGCACAGGGAAGGACCCTTCTGGGGCCTTGATCCTGCGAGGTCTTGTTCTCCAGTCCGTGCCCTCCACTACTGGGGGTGGAGTGGGAGGGGGCCGATGGCACAGGTTACAGCCCCAGCGGTAGAGTGGGCATGGAGAAGAGAGACATGGTACCCAGCTGGCGAGGGCATCACCTCCACATATTCAGCACCCAGGACTGTGAGTGTTGGTGGCAGTAAGGGAGGGAGGACTAGGGGTGAAAGGCCCTAAGTAGGGGGAGGCCGAGAACCGGGATGGGGAACGGGGATGGTAGCTCAGACTCCAGCCAGGGAGACATCTCGACTCCAAGCAGGCAGAGAAGAACTGCCTTGAGCCGACTGAGCACTCAGCCAGGCCCTAGAGAACGGCCACCCAGGAGCCCTGGCACACTGCATCCCGTTGGGTGGGGGGTGCACTGTCTTCTTTGCAGCCAGAAGTCTGCAGCTCCTCCCACACCCTGATGCCATCACCCTCCTGGCTCCTCAGACTTTGGATTCTGAGTCCGGCTCACCCTAAGATAAGCTGACACCTGAAACCCGGGCTTTATGCCGTCCAGTTTAGAGGCTGTTGATGCGCATCACTGCAGAGGTCCTGGCTGTACAAAAGAATTCCCCTTTCAGAAACGGGGGCCGTCCTCAGTGCACTTAAATATTTTCTTCTAATTCATTCGCTACTTAAAGGAGGCTGGGGGCAATCCCCACAAAGAATCTGAAGCCTAGAGGGACTGGAGCCCCTGCTCTCTGAAGCGACGTCGGAATGAAGCCTCAGCGTCTCTACGCTGAGAACGGCAGTCAGGGGTGAACAGGGTTTGACTTTTGTGCGGCCCGAGCTCCAACCCTGCCGGTGCATAAAGAGGTGTGTGTGACTTTTCAGGAACATGCCAACCTCACCAGGAGTGACGCGTCTGCCTCTCGCCTTGCCATCCAGTCTATCTTGTGACTGCTTTAAAAGCCCAGCTCCGGTGGGGCCCCCCGCTGGCTATGACCCCTCCCGGTATTGCAGGTCTCTCCCCGCTGAGGCACCCGTCCTTGGTCCGCTCAGCCCTCCACCCCAGCACCCCGAGCTACCTTCCCGGGCCAGCCTTGCTGCCCTTGCACACGTCACGCTCTGGCAGCCTAGCCCTCCACTTCACTTGCATTAGTCTTTTGCCAGAGAGAGGCCGGACTCAGGTTACAAGAGCGCTTAGCACTTAGGGACTGGGGATGGAGTAGAGGTACCCGCTCCCCGAGAGGGTGACATACAGTAGGCTGGCCTCACGCTGTCACTGTAACTGCAGGCTCTGAGCTAGGGCCGAGGAGGGGGAGGAGGAGGAGGGGAGAGGTGCTCAGACAAGACCAAGAGGCACTCAGGCCTGGCCCAGCAGCTCTCAGACTCAGAAGAGCAAGGTCAGGAAGCAGTGGAGGAGTTCGTGTGTGTTCGGTGAACGGGGGGAGGGGCACGGACATTCCAAATCAGGACAGAGTGTATTGTGGAGGAAGGAAGGTTTTCAGGCCTGGGAAATTTTTTTTAATGATTTATTTATTTGAGAGAGAGAGAGAGGAGGAGCGGGAGGGGCAGAGGGAGAGGGAGAGAGAATCTCAAGCAGACTTCCCTCTGAGCGCAGAGCCTGATTGGTGGGGGGTGGGGGGGAGCTCAATCTCGTGACCCTGAGATCACGACGTGAGCAGAAACCAAGAGTTGGCCACAAAGCCGACTGTGCCACCCAAGCACCCCTGGGCCTGGGACTTTGACTGGAGACTCTGGCTGGGGAGAGCATGCCCAGAGTCTGGGCCAAGGGCAAGGCGGTTCTGGGGGCCCTGTTTCTGACCCAGGATAGGAGGCAGGAGAAGCAGGACATGAGTACCTGGACCCTTGGCTGGTGGCCACCTACACGGAAGTGGCCCTCCTTGGCTCCTAAAGATGTCATGGGGGTGGAGAAAGCAGTGAGAGCCTAGTGTCCAGTGCTAGGCTTAAGCAAAATGTGAGGGCAACAAATTTACCCAAATAAGGGCACAAAGGTAGATGGCCTAATGAAGAAGGGCAGATTAAAGCAAGAGGTGACAGGGTCTGCACCAAACACCGTGTTCCCTCCCCTTGAAACTAGCTGTCCCCTTTCCCAGCTGGACCCCTAAAGGGTCCTAGTGCTGGTCAGTTGCCCAAGGGTCTCCCCATAGCCTCTGGGGGAGCACCAAGTATGCAGATCAGGAAGCCCCAGTTTCCTCCAGGACACCCTCTCTGTACCCACTCTTTCTCCCCCCACGGTACCACTTTGGACCGTTTGCCAGTGGTGGCGTCCTGTGAGTGTCCTGTCTTGCCAACTGCACCGGATGGTAGGTGCCTGCAGGACAGGCCCATGAGGTGTCCTTCACCCCTGTCTTTTGCTCTCTGTTTGCCTGCCTGACAGGAGTTTCTGAGGAAAAGCCTGCTCCCTTCTTACCAGGGAAGAGGCTCACGCCGCCCTTGGGCCCTGAGGAAGAAGACCCCTGGACAGCTAGCTGAAGGCAGGGGGTGCCAGAGCTAACTGATGCACCCTCCTGAGAAGCCAGGCAGAGCTCCCAGGGCGAGGGCAGTGGCAAAAGGCAAGAGCAGAGAGAGAAGGCAGCCTCCAAAGAGAGAGAGGTGGAGCCCCGCCGGGCCCCTCAGGGGCTCCTGGGCTGCAGGCCCCCCTCCTATTCTGGAGGGTCTGGAACTAAGTAGGGCCCCATGCCCTTCATCCAGGAAACCTGCTGCCCTGCCCTCTCCTTCCCTCTGCTCCCACCTTTCTGCGTCTCCAGCCCTGGCACTGGCATTCGTCCACCTGGTCTTGGCCTTGCCCTTCTGTGGTGCCAGGCAAGCAGCAGTGACAGCCAGATCACAGGACTGTGGCAGCTGGAGGCAGGAGCTGACAGCCCCAGGAGACACTGACGCACGGGGGACAGGCAGCCTGGGCTGAGGCTGCCAGGGCATCGGCGGGGACCGGGTCTGGGGAGGGCAAGGGAGCACTGGTGCCAAATATGCCAGGTGGGGGGTGTGGTGCAGGTGGGGCAGAAAGGGGTCCCCCTCCCAGAATTGCATGGAGGTGTCCAGTCAGGCGCATGTTTCCCGGTTTGGTGCCTGGAGACAGCCTGTGGCTGGGGCTCATGAGTAAAGGCCGGAGCCAGGATATCGAAGAACGAGGCCCGGGGAGGGGGGGCGCGGGGGGCGCGGAGTGCGTGGGGCGGGCCTCCTGTGCGGGAGCAGGAGAGCAGACCAGATTGGAGCTTGGGGAAGAGAAGACCAGCCTGGCCCGGGCAAGGCTGCCTCCGCTCACACGCAGGCTGAACCGAGCAACAGCCGGGCTCCACGCCGCCGCCCCCGCCGCGCGCTCCTGCCTATGCAACAAGTGTCACGTCTGCATCTTGGCACATCATCCCGAGTGGCCCGCGCCCCGGCACCCGCGCGCGGCCCCTAACGTCCAGGGGCCGGAAAACCTTCAACTCGGGAGGCCAGGCCACCAGGCTCAGGTCAGGCTCCCTCCACTGATCCACGGGGAGCGGGACATGCTCCCCCCCACCCGCCACACACATCCCCTCCACCACGTGGGGTACAGGGCGCGGGACCCTGGACGCACGCCCGCGGCCCTGAGCTCCTCGGACTTCGAGGGGCCGCCGGGAGGGGCAGGGCGCCGGGCGGGTGACGCCCGAGACCGAGGCGAGCCCCCTTCCCGGAGGAGGCGGTGGCCCCGGGCCGGCCGGGTCCCTGGCCCAAGGCGCCCTGTCAGTCAGTCGGCGGCCCGGCGCGGCCGGCGCGTGGCTGCTCCCGCTCGGCTGGCGCCCGGGTCCCGGGAGGCGGAGAGCGCGCGAGCTGGGGGCGGAGGGAAGGGAGCGCGTCGGCTGCGGTCCAGGAGGGCGGCGAGGGGCGCGCGGGCGAGCGGCGGGGCACGCACTCACCTCCACACGCCGCAGTCAGGGAGAGCCAGAGCAGCAGGAGCGCCTGCACGCAGCGCCGCAGATCCATGCTGCTCCTCGGCCGCGCCGCAGCGGCCCCGGGGCCGGGGGGCGGGGGAGGCCGGGCGCCCCGAGGCGGGGAAAGGCGCGAGCCGCGGACCGTGCGTGCGTGCGGGCGCGGAGCTCGCGTGGCTCCCTGGCTGCGCCGCGCCGGCTGGCCGCCTGCCGCGCTCGCTCGCCGCCTCCTCCCCGGCAGCCTCCCTCTCCTGCCGCGGGGCAGCGCCGCCAAGCTGGCCTCCGCGGGCGGCTCCGGGGACGGCGGCGAGCTCTCTCCAGGAGGCTGGCTGCTGGGCCGAGGCTCCGAGTGCCCGTGGCCCGGGCTGCCAGCGAGAATGCTCCCCGCTCACTCCAGGGGCTGCATTTTGTAGCTTGTGGCTTGGCCGCGAGCCCACTTGGTCATGTGGTCATCGGGAGGGCTGGAGTGGGGGGGGCAGGAAGAGGGAGAGGGAGCGAGCCTCCCGCACCGCCCCCCTCCCGGCACGCATTCTGCAGCCCCAGCCAGGGCGCGAGAGGGAACCTCGAGGTGGCCCCACAACAAAGGCGGCACGGCCGCTCCGACAACCCACAACCGCTCCCAGGACAATGCCCGCCTGGCCGGGGGCCAGAGAGTTTGGGAGACCTGAAGGATTTCAAACACAGGAAGCATTTGGGGCGGTGGAGGGGCACACTTAACCCTTTCTCACCTCGCTTTCTTAACGGCTGTCAAGGAACCTGGGCGCCCCACTCATCCCCTCCGCCTCTGACCTGCTCCTTCCCGCTGCCACTCCCCAGCCAAGACCCACCCCCCCACTAGCCCTTCTTTCTCCTCTGCATCTTCAACTGGGTTTGTATTGGGGCGTGACTGTCTAGGTTTGTGCCCAAGACAGCTTAATTGTCCGGTGGGCGAGTCCCCAGGAGGCACCCTCTACCTGGAATGCCCACCCCCCCATCCTGCCTCCCAGTTCTTCATTCTTGCAATAGCACCTCGAATTCCATCTCATTCAGAAGACTTGCCGGGGTAACAGTAATCCAGGAAGGGCTGCCCCCCCTACAGGGGGGGGGGGCGCTCCTCCTCGCCTTTGGGACAAGCAGCAACTTCTAGGGTGTTCCCTTTCTTGTTCCCCATCATCATGAGGGGGACAGTTTACCCAACTCTGAACAGTCTAGGCTGGATTCATTTTGCCCCTACTTGGGATTCCCCTTTGTAAGTGGGTCCTGAAGTTTTTTTGCCTTCCCAAGCTAGACTGTCAGCTCTTACAGGCTGGGAGCTCCTAAGGCAAGGGACTGCCTCTTTCACCGGGCTGGGAACCCCCTAAGGCAGGACCTTGTCTTCTCATTCTTCTGCATCTTTCCAAAGTCCCCAGTATCGGACTCTGCACATAGGTGGCACTCAACACATGTCAAAAGACTACTTCGAAAGGTGTTTCCACATTTCAACTAGCCAGGCAGATTCTTGAAGTGCAGGTCCAGCTTTACACACAAAAATACATTGGACAGTGTGTATGTGTGCCACAAACGATGTGAGAGGCCCTGGTATATTTGAAATGTTTTTGAAATGTGGAAACAATCCAGTATATACACAATTTATTTATTGTCAGTCTCCCCCCCACAAAACTGTCAGCTCCACAAGAAAAGGAGCTCTGCTTCATTCACAGCTGTAGCCCCAGACTAGAACGCTGACTGGAACAGGGTTGGTGCTCAGTACATAATTTTGAATATATAAATGAACTTTCAAAAATATCTCTATTGCCTCAATCAAGGCAGTGGGAAGGGAGTAAAATAAGAGTTCCTGTTACTTGTCTCTGGCCCCGTTAGCCACAGTCCAGTAGGTAAAAGGCAGACATGTGAAGCAGAGCACCTCTCATCGTCCATAATGCGTTGGCCGTGAGCAGTGGGCATTTATAATACGACATCATTTCCCCTGGTGCCGCCCCCTGGAAAGGGTCCTCCAATCAGGAGGAAAAACACCTGGCCTCTGGTCTCCACCCTTCTGTGCTGTAGGACCTTGCTAGTGTCACCTACTTACTGGATTTCATGAGGATGATCATTTCTAACCTCCCCTCTTCAGGGTTGTTATGTGGTTAAATGAGATAACGTACCTGAAGGCACTGTACAAATGGGGAATAAACCCTTGTAGGATCGTTTTTAGGAACCGTGACCCTCCAGCCCCTGATTGATCAAGCCTGTGCAAACCCAAAAGCGGTTTGCCCCCAACACTAGGTTAATAGAAGCATTTATATTTGATCGCACCTTTACCAGGGTGTGTATGAGCTATTTGCTAAGCGGTTAGAGCTGCGCTTTCCTATACGGTAGATATGAATAACATTTAAAATAAATTGAAAAAGTCATTTCCTCCGTGGCACTGGCCTCATTTCAATTGCTTAGTAGCAACTCGTGGCCAGTGGCTACTGAACTGGACAGCACAGAATAGAAGCTTCCAATCATGGCAGAAAGTGCCATCAGACGGTGCCGGGTTAAAGCACCTCATTCATTCTTCCTTTTTCTGTAATCCTTTTCCCCACTTTACCTAATCTTCAAAATGTGCAAGGGAAAAAAAATATGAAAGCAAACCAATAGTGTTTAAGGCAAGCAGCATTCAGTAAATAGAAGGCATGCATTTAAAAGCAAGATTTAAAGAGCTGAACACATGGGAGAATCATGTCTTAATCTAACCCTTCTCACCATTTAACCAAACTGCATCTATTTTTCCAGTCCCGGATCCAAGATCTCATCTTCCTCCTTTCTCAGGCCACTCTCACCCGCCGAGACTGTGCCCTCTTCGTAACAGCTGTGGCTGTGCCTTTCATTGGCAGTCGCTCCTGCAATGAGTTGGGAGCACTTTTGTATTTGTGTGCCCTGCTTTGCGGGGCTGTGAAGAGGGTCCACCACCAGCACACGCCTTCTGGAATTGAGGCACATGAGGCAAGGAATGCAACTCCGATTGCTCACCCTGAAACCCCCACGGGCTCCCATATATCTTAATGTCATACTCAAAGGATGGGTTTTCGTATCTGTCTCCACTCACCGGACTTTAAGGTCACGGGAATGATTGTACCTAAGACAGTGCCTAGCACACAGCTGGTACTTGGAAACTGCTGGTCAAAGACATAAACTGTTGGCATAACTCTGTGCTGCCTTTGTTCATTTGTTCAGGAAGATGAGACTATTGAGTTAATATCAGCAAATAAATGTTTTAAGGTGTTTCTTCAGGGGTGAGGGGAGGTATGTGAAACCAGCCCCACTCCCCTGCCCCTAGGCAGCAAATAGCTGTGACGTGCTTTGTTGCACGTGAGGATTGGGTCAGGGCCAAGATTCAGTTTCCAATCAAAGTCAGGGGCAATCCTGGGGGCAGGGGTAGGCTCAGTGTATTACTGGGCACAGAGATGAGATAACTGACCTATGCAAAGCCATTCTGTGACTTGTCACCTTCATCGCTGCTGTGCACAAGCTGGTCAGCATTGCTTAGTGTCCTATGTCGTCACCACCACCACCATCGGTTGCTGCCGTTCCGTTGCCTCATCCAGATCTCTGTCCTCTGGGTTTGAGCGAGCACTGTGCTCTATTAGAAAGAACTCAGCTTTTGGAATGTCAAATAACTGAATTCAAATTCCGCCTCCCCAATCTCATTTGTTAACTGTGTAACCTTGGGAAAGTTATTTAACCTCTCTGAGACTCCGTTTCTTCAGCTGTTAAATGAGGGTAGTAATAGTACCTACCTTATTATGCTTGCGAGATTAAATGAGATAATGCAAGTGAAGAACTTAGCAGCATGGTCCCCTGTCCACAGTAGTTGCTCCTTCAATGTTAGTTTTCTCTTCTTCCCGACATGCCCCTCCCACTTAGGGCTCTGGCCTCTGGCCTCTTGAAACTGATCAAGAAGGAAAGGCTCTGTCTTTGCTCTGCTCCATCCACACCTGTCTTTTTAGTAGCCATCACAGCTGCTCACTGTCTTATTCCCCCAAAGCACCAATCTCTGCTGGAGCCAATCTGATGAATGCACTTGACTCAGGGAGTTAATGTGTGATAGTGGTTTGAGGTTTTGCCTCCTAAGTATGGTATTCATTTTAATGGGGGCCTTCGGGAGAAATGTCCTACCCTAGGGTAATATCAAGCTTAGCCCTTTTTAAAAAAAGATTTTATTTATTTATTTGAGGGAGAGAGAAAGCACGACCTGGGCGGGGGGGTTGCGGAGCAGAGGGAGAGGGAGAAGCAGACTCCCCGCTGAGCAGGGAGTCCGATGCCCCCGATCCCAGGACCCTGATATCATGACCTGAACGAAAGGCAGACACTTAACTGAGCCACCCAGGCGCCCCAAGTTTCACCCTTTTGAGCAAGGGGACACTTTAGTGACTTTTGTTTAGCTGCTCTAAATAGAGCTCATCCTGCTTCAAAGTCAACACAAAAAGGTATTACCTTTGGCAACTTACAACCCAACTTTTAACCTGTAGGTCCAGCCGGTGAAACCAGAGTGCAATCCTGTTGCAGCCCATTTCTCTCTGCCTGTCCCCACAGATGATGATGATGATGATGATGATAATGATATAGCTAAAATTTATTGACCATGTGCCATGTGTCAAGCACTGTTCTGAATGCTTTACATGTGTTAATTTATTTAAATGAATGAATCACACCTATGAAGTAGCCCTATTCCTTATCATCCCCATTTTACAGATGAGGCATCTGAGGCTTACAGAGGCTAAGTAATTTTCCCAGGCCTGCCTAACCTCAAAGCCCTCACTGAAGGCTCTTCCCTCACTGAGCTTTGAGAAGCAAATTCTCACATCTCTAGCCCCATATATCACTTTATTTGTACTTTTAAAAAAATATATTACAAGTAAAAATGTATTGACCTTGAGAAAGAGTGCTTGTATATTTAATATTGCTTCTAATTTATCACAGGAATTACTTCCCAAAGATGTTAATCACAGCTGGATTGAAAGAGTATTTGGGAGATGTGGCACTGTTGTTTATATAAGTATACCACATTATAAATCTACTGGAGATCCAAAGGGATTTGCCTCTGTGGAATTTGGAACAAAAGAACAAGCAGCAACAGCTATTGAGGTAGGTCTAGAACCTTTGGAAAGAAAGGTTTTCTTAACCTTCCTGAATTGTACTCTCCAAGTGTCCTGTTCTCCTCTTGGAGGCTCACTTTATTTGCACGTATAACACTGAATTCATACTGTCTTGAATCAAGGAAGCAGTGAAGCATAAGGGTTAAGCATATGGGTTCTGGAGTAAGACAGCTCTGTCACTAAGTAGGTAACTTGGGGCAAATTATTTGCTCTTTCTGAGTCTTAGGTTCCTCGTCTGAAAAAAGGGCCAGTGCCTAGCTCCCTGAGTTACTGGAAGGATTAAATAAAT